CCCCGCCCCCCGGAAGGTCTGTGCGAATGACTGCGAAATCATTTGCTGAAAAGGATCGCTGCAGAAGCGATCGGCGAATGGAGCGCCGGCTTCTCCGACCCGCTCCTCGCGTTTATGTTTAATTTTTACGGTGGTTATTTTCTTTCTCCTTTGCGGAGCAGAGAGGGCGAGGGAAAAAAACTTTTTTTGAGTTCCTCGTTCTGCAACGCAGACAAGCTGACGCTAGAGGGACCCCGAGGGTTTGCTCAGAATACCCTGTTTTTGACTTTTGCGAGGATTGTTCCACTTTCCTGCTTTGTACAGTACAGGTTAGGAGAGCAGGCGGGGAGATGGGCCGGCTCCCGGCTTGTTTATCATGCCTCCGTTACAGCACTAGAGGTTGCATGGTGGTTCCTACCCAGAACGAGGAAATGGGGGTGATTGCAGGGGAGAACGATCGGTATACCATCCTTAAAAGCCCCGATGCGTGAGAGGCATTGTAGACGGCTTGATCCGTAAGGGGATGTTGGAGACGTGTTTCAGCTCAACCGTCCGTGAACTCTGGAAGAGGAAGCGGTGGGCAGAAGTTGTAGGGGACTTCTTCTCCGTGTGCCTTTTTCTGTCTTAATGCCTTTAAAGCAAAGCTAATAAAGTGAAATTCTAGGGAGCCCCGGGATGCTCTTGACTGCCAAAAGTATACCCTGAATACCCGGTAGCCCTCGTGGCATGTGCCGCGGTGTGAAGTGTGGAGCAGGAAAGCCAAGGTGTGCTCTGTTCTTGCCGCTAGGGGTTGGACTGCCAAAGATCTGTAGGTGAGGTCGGTAAATGTCCCGTGCAGGACTTGGCTACTTCTTGGTTGACATGCCCGTTTAAGGACAGGCAAGGTCATGTACTCTTGGCCTGAATGTTATGTTATGATATTCTGCATTACTTTTCTCTGCTTCCCTTAAGCTGCTTAGAGGGGAAAGCTTCTGAAGATTTCTTCACTATTGTAAAGAACTCATAGTTCTTAAGCTCTGGTTGCTATTAAACTCACTTCCTAAGAAAGAACGAACACTTATCCCATGTTAGATCAGTGAGGAGTGAAAACAGGGATAAAAACAGAAAAATAAGCCAAGGACTGAGTGAGAAGTAAGGGCTGGTAGAGGGTCTTCTACTTTGCATGGCCTTATTATGATTGCTGTTATTACTGTTAGCATTCTCCTGTTTTCTCTTCCAGTTGCTTTTCTCTAGAGGAATTGTTTTGAGAAACCTAGAAAAGTTTTAGCACTCTGCAGAGCCACAGGGATATGGGACACAGGAGGAAGCTGTAGTTTTAGCATAACTGTAACCAGCAGATGTGTCTGAACCAGCCAGTCATACATTAACCGGGGTGGGTGGGGGGTCGAAGGCTCAAAATGTTCCGTGTTAAAAAAAGAAAAGGCTGTTTGGGGGCAAGAGCACGGGTAGCTTGAAAAGATACTTGGGACAGGGGAATGATGCTTCAAGCCTCGTAGCTGACACTTCGGCACCGTAGCACATTACTGTTTATAACACGTACTGTGCTTTGCAAGCTGCTAGCTTCTATGGAGAACAGGGAAAGTTGCTTATTTGTGGGTGTTTTTTTCCCCCCAACTCTGGCACAAAAAGTTGTAGCGAAGAAACAGCCAAGAGGGTTGCCATGCAAAGGGGAAGCAGTGAAAAGGGACTCCCCTTCCCGTTATTGGAGCCTTTATGGAAAACTATGCAGCTGAAGCCTTACTTCTGGCAACCGGGTGGTGCTTTCCCGCGAATTTGCTTTTCAAGTGGAAAACTGTTTACCTGTGCAGTCTGTAGACAAGGTCATTCAGTATCAGAGCTGTCTTTTGCTCCTGGAGTGATCTGCAACAACCCAGGGAAATTAGTGAAACCTTTGGTACTGTTATATTATGCAGCTAAATGCACATGGGTCCTGGGTGGTTTAAAGGAATTTTTTTTTTTTTTGGAGCCCATTTGGGAGGGGGGACGCTGCAGCAAGGGCATGGTCTGCTGCATGCTACTGTCCTGTTAAAATTCATAATGGCAGCTTAGACTAGCTAGTTCATCCTGGCAAGGTCATTTCAAAGCAAGTGCCTACTTCTCTGGCTGTATATAGGGAGGTCCTGAAATAAGATGCTTTCAGGCAGAGATAGCCAAGGGACTGTTTTGATAAAAGGAGCTGGACGAAAAAGCTCCATATTAGCAGGAAATGCAACAAACACAAATGTGGTTTTAGATGAAGCCTGTGTCTATACACTTCAGTCACCTTAGTTTTCCTTGTAACTGAGTAATGTAATATTGCTGTCCATAGCTTTGATTTACTTCAGGGTTTGGACACAAATGCAGAAGGGCAGTACGGAACAAGCTGTGAACTTGGGAGATTAAAACTGATCAGTCAGCTGGCTGAAGACATTTACATTTCCTTTTCTTGTCTTCTGCCAGGTGCTTTTCAGAAGTGAAGCGAGTTTGTTTTATTTTTTTTAAACACTGAATATAGTCTTCTTTTAAAAAAAGAAACTCATGGAGTGGATCACCAAAGTTCAAACAGTTCCTTATACTCTGATGGATGAGTAAACAGGACTAACTCTCCCTTCTGTCCTTCCTTCTGTCCTTTCTCTTCCCCACTAAAGGCTTGACTGATACCAATGTCCGTTTGAGTGGTTAAGGGAATTGGGTGAATGTAGACTGTATTTGTTACATGCACAAAGGGCAAGAGGAAAAACTTCTTCTCACTGAAGTTTCTTGGCTGTCTGGAGAGCTTAGAAAATAAATGTGAAAGCAAAGCAGTGGCATTAAGGAGCAAAGATGGCTATTTTTGCACTCTTTCTACATGGTGGGCTGGCTGGCTTCTGTGTGTGCAAGGTAAGAGCTAGGCAAGGAAGTAAATGCTTTCACTTGTGCCACTTCAATTATGCACTCCAATGATGAGCACATTTATTGGAAGAAAGCTTTACAGTTGGGATTGAGGAAGCCCACCTAAATTCATGGCTGCAGTACCACACCTGAGAGAGAACCCAAGTAGATCAGTTCCTGCCTCAGTCAGTCTTCCTCAACCTAGAGCTCCTGATGTGTTGGGCCACACATACCAGAACTCATTGCTAGTATGGCATCTGCTAGGTGAACATTATCCTACAATTTTGGGGCAGGACCTGCTTTCATCTCTTTGTTGTAGGCTTATAGAGCACTTACAGAGGTAAGCCAAAAGCATTCTTGCAAATCACTGAACTTTTAGTTTATTCACTTGTTCCTTAATTGAAGAAATGTGAGCTCATTAGCATATGGATTAGAAATTGCTAGGTTTGATTGGTTTACAGCTACATATATTTGCATGAGAAAAAAACAGGTTTTCCCTTTTTTTAGATGATTCAGGCATGTTTCACAATAGAAGCTACAGCAGCAATCATAAATCAGCTTCTCCTGATTGGTCTTCTGCTTTTTGAGAGCATGCTTATACCGCGAATTTTAATCACATGAAGTTTCAACATGCTGGAATCTCTGAAATGTTGTCTTATATTTTTTGCCAAGTCCCTTCAGTGGTTTACCATTGCCTCCTTCCTAGGGCTGAGAGAGTAACTGGCCCAAAGTCACCCAGTTGGCTTTGTGCCTAGGGTGGGACTAGAATGCACAGTCTTCTTGTTTTTAGCCTGGTGCTTTAACCACTTCACAAAACTGGCTCTCAGAACATAGTTAATGGACAAAAAATGCTGGCTGATGGTTGAATTTCTGGGGTTGTGAGAAGGTAAGACTGTGGGGGAGGGGAATGAAATAATATAGCTGAAAAGTTGGAATAGGAACACACCACACTAAAACATGTTGCTGCCTGTTCCATGTGCATATGTCTGTGTGAGATGGCAGAAGATAATGTGTTGTGAATTCTTAGCCAATAGTTCTATAAAAAGCTGAGTGGAGGGACAGCATAAAGTTCAGGGTAGAAGACGGTAGGACAGCGATACAGAATATTTCATGAATTCCATGTCACATAAAACTCATTCTTCCCTGCCATTTCTCTCCCAGTAGGGTTTGGAAACGCTTCAGGAGATTCCTTTCAGAAATTAGCTGGATAAACATATATGGAGAAAGCATCTTCCCACTTATTCATCCTCTGATTTTAACTTTTCTGTTTATGGGAATTGTCCCAATTTTGCACACTTTTATGAGTCATGGCCTAGAACAACTTGTGTATGCTTGCTTTTCAAATGTGCAAGAATTGAATATTATTGGAATTGCCAATTAGGTTTCTCCGGAGGGGTGACTGAAGATGTGCATGTCTATGTACAGTATATCAACTTTTGGTTGTGTTAAAATGTAATTGCCTAAACCCCAACAATTTAAAATGTATGTTACTTATCTATATTCTCATGGGGCAAATAGTCCCTCACCCATGCTGCTTTCTATTAATAAAATGGCTTAAATGCATGTATATTTAATATGAAGGCATAATGTGTAGACCATTAATTGATATTCCAAACCATTGACTTGCCTAGAGAGACATATTCCCCAAACGTATACATTTGTTTTCTCAAGCACTGGGGTTAGGCAATCTGTTCTTCCATTTCCTAAAAAGCAGCCCTATCAGTGATGCTGATCTTGGATGAACATGGAATAAAATGTCTGGGTTTAATTCTACCTTGCAGTAATTCTTTAGTTCCTCCAGAGTGCCAGCAGAGCATAGGCTGGAAGTAAAATATGGACTTGAATTTATGAAAATATGAACTTCCTCAATCAGTATCCTGATGGGACCATGTAACAGCTTCTCCAGAAAAATATTTGAAGGCCACCACATTAAGAAAAACTGCATTTTGCTCCTATGGTATACTATGAGCTGACTACAAGTAGGCCACACAGCAGCACTGACTGCTAAACCTCCTACTAAGCCTCTGTTATCTCTACTGCTCCATTGTCTTAACTTCAGTGGAATAAAGATGCCAGATTGGTTGGTTGTTTGCAGAAGATTCATCCGGGGGAGGAAAATAGCAAGAATTCAGCACTAGGCAATTAAAAAGCTCTCCTTTTTTGGCCTTGTTTCCTATTACATTGACCTCTGATGGTAATTGGGAGGGGGCAGACCCAAGGTGAACATCACCAAAGAGTAGCATTTTTAAGTGGGAGGAAAGCTCATGGAATAAAAAAGTGTGCATTGGGTCACAGAGGCATCCACTGGATGTTGGATGTCCAGTATGCTTCAGAACTGTTATTTCTATAAGTTTTACCTTATTCTTTTATTTAACGGGAGGCAGCTTTGTATTAAACAATATTTGTAAGGAACAGCTATATATCAAGACTTCCATAAATTAAGTTCATTTGTAATAAATATTTTATTGTACCAAGTAAGAGAAAAAATTATACATGTTAACTATGGGTCAACATTTTTTAAAAATAAAAAGATAGGGGTGAGTGGGAAAGCAAATAGATGGTTTTCCTAGCATAGAATTGGAAAAATATCTTATCCCCATTGCTGACAAATAGTGCCCACTTCTAAAACTGTCTAACTCCTGATCCAAAGTTTGGGTAGGAAATTACAGCTTAACAGTGGGTTGAAATTAGCTGTGGCTATACTGTCTGGCTGCCTTTGTAAAAATACCATAGGTTTCATCTTCAAAGAGAAGAAGGAGTTCAAGAAAATTAGAAGAATTGGTTGTGAGTACTGTGGTGATGGTAGTGAAGAGCTTTAATTTGGAGCCACCTCTTTCTTTGTTGATCATTTCACAACACAGGAAAAGGTCTGTGCGATTTCCTTTCAGGAGCAATGCCAACATTCTGCTGTAATGAGGCACTCTACCTGTACATTATTGGCAGAAGAAAAGTTTCATGTGCCATATCACCACCTGTTTGAATGACCCTATAGGTTGGTGAGAAAAATGCTTCTGGAGAGATGGAGAAATAGGTCTCGAGGGGGAGGTGGCCAGTAACTATCAACCTTGGACACAGATAGGTTTCCCAGATTTGAGTCCTCCTGGAAAAAACAAGTGTGAGTGTACACATACACATACACACTTAGATTTTGTCAAACATAAAAATTAAGCAATCTTTTATGAGAAATCGACAGTGGCAAGGTCGATGACAAAGTGGTCAAACTAACTTTCTGACGCTTGCCCAGGAGGCAAAAGTTAATAGGGGCTGGGCTTCCAGATTGACCATAAATCTCACCAGCACATGTTGCATGTTTAGCAGTCTAAATATTCATACTTCCTATGTGATCAAAGGCAAAGGCAGCTCAGCAGTCATTTTTGTGACATTTTCACAACATTTGATGTTGCTAAGGAGCATTACTGACTACTACTAACTTAGTGGAACCTTTGGACATATCTAGTAGAGTTGGAGCCTGTTTGCTGAATAAATCAGAAACCACAAGGCAGTACTTGGAAATTGTGTATCTATTAGCATTTCACCTGAGTAAGCCTTTACCTGCACGTATAGGGTTGGGCTGCTGACATGCCACCATCAGCCTTTGAAAAAGCAGGTGGTGCTCCAAAAACTGAGACCTATTCATGGAAATAGATGCATTTATGGTACCATTTGATTTTGCTCTGTGGGGCAAATTTGGAAGAGGTGGCTTAATCAGAGAAATGTTGCAAAGGTAGAAAAAGAAGCTTGCTTTTCTTTCTCCTTTTCTTTCTCTTTCTCTTTCTCTTTCTCTTTCTCCTTCTCTTTCTCTTTTTCTTCCTTTTTTTCACCATGGTTATAGCCTAAACCATCCTCCATGATAGCAGTTGCAATAAGCATCTTAGAAAAACAACACAGGTAGATTGTGACTTTCCTGCAGTATATCTGACTGTAAGCCAATGGACAATTTAAAATACCAATGCGGTAAATTCAATCTATGCTAATGAATATTAGCTCTATTATTTTTTAGGAGTTTCTCCTACAAGGGGAAAATTAGTAGTTCAGCTGTATTGTAATATGGGAAAGCATCACCAAATACTGAACTTATCTATATCATCGCTCTCTGGCTTGCTGCCCTCTTAAACCTGGGAATTCTGCAAAATACACACTTTCCAGAATTATACAAATTATAATTTAGATTGCTTTACAGCTGAATCTACTAGTTTAGATTTAATCAGCTTTAAACAGTTTTTTCTGTGTTTTTCTTATAACAGTGTATGGACTGGTTTCCTATTCAATTGTTCACATGGCCAAAGCTCTCTCATAATGCAAAGAGTTGAAATTATTTTTAATAGTGAACTAATCTGATTGAACTGTTAATTGCTAAAACAAGCAGGAAGCTTGTCACTTCAGTTGATGAGTAAATAGGATTGGCTCTACCCCCCTCACTCTTTTGTTTCATTTCAGAATATAAGGCTGGATATCCAGGAAAAACAATTTAAGTTGAATATTCTGAAACAGTGCTTGGTTTCAATCCAAATTGGATGATTTGTTTTAAGTAAGAAACCAAAGTATATTTGGAGCATTGCTATACTTTCTCTGCCTAGTATAGCAAGCACTTTTCCTGTCCTCCCACTTCTGAATATTGTGGGACTCTTAACTGCTTTAGAAAGTCAGGTTGCTTCTCCCACTAGAGACTGAACATACTATAAGTTACTGGAAAGCTAGTAATCCAGGATAGGTAGAATGGATTAATGGATAGAAAGCTGGCCTTAAACTCTGCCTAGGGTCACATTAGAAAGCTTGGGACTAAGCCAGGAATAGATTGAACTAGATCACTGGTGGGCTTTTTTCCAACTCAACAAAAGGTCATCCCATCTGCTTTATGCTGTTCTGATGACCGTGTAGTAGTTAGCCCTTCCAGAGAGCTGGTATGTTTTCTTTTATAACAGTAACGCTAAGTCCAATTTAAAGCTGTCCAGAACAACTGTCTACATACAGGGCCACAACATCTCACCAATTAATAGACTCACCAATTCTCATTTTGCATAGTGATGCAAAATTCTTATAAAGTGCAGAGGATGTTTCCCTTCTTCTTTCACATGTGGAAGGCCTTTTCTAAAATTATATTTGCCGGTTTAATTTATATGTTGTGACAGAATACAGTGCTTTGAATGATTGTAATTGGGTTTTGAAACCAAACTACAAATTCATCACAACAGAATTGCTGACAATATTTTTCACCAGGGGCAGGGAAACCTCTTGACAGACAGACAGACACACACACACACACACACACACACACACAGACACTTCTCTTGATGTTTGGGCTCAGGGAGGAACCAGAGGTTTATAATTTTGCTTTCTTCATCATATAATCTTCCATGGAAATACAGGCAGCTGTTTCCATCTTTGCTGACCTACATCTGGATTTGGACTTCTAAGACAGAAAAATAATGAAACTGATTATCTTAGTATCTTATTAGCTTAGTATCTTGATTTTTATTAATTGAAGAAGCTGCAGTGAGAAGCTGTATTTTTTCTGCTTCTTTAGTGTGTGTTATGGTATCCAGAACATACATTGGAGAAGTATTTCTTTATGCTTATTGATTTGTATGAAGATTCATTTTTAACCCTATTGTCCTATGCACTGTGTCCTCTATACTTGATCCATGTCTGGCTTGCTGAGGCTAGTGTGCCCTTTCTTGTCTCATTTCTCATTAGGATAGTAGACAGTGGCTGTGGAGGTCCTGCTTCATTATCACCTGCTCATTTAGAAGTCACTTGTAGGAATAGTTTTTAACATGATGGATTTTTCTCTTTCAGGTGCAGAAGATGTGCACCTCCCGGCGGATATTGCTGCTTATACTCACCTTCCTGGCATATACGATTGATTCTGTCTCTGCATACAGTCCTGCTGAAACCCTTTGTGGTGGAGAGCTGGTGGACACACTGCAGTTTGTCTGTGGGGACAGAGGCTTTTATTTCAGTAAGTACAAAAAGAAAAGTAAACTGCACTCACCTTGGAAAAGTGCCAATATATCCATCTATACATGGTGTTTTGGAAAGTTATATATGAAACATCTTAGGAGGCCTCACCTTAGTTATATACGCTATGCTAGCTTTTTTGTATTGCTGGTGGGTGGCTGAGGCTGAACTAAAAATAACATGTAGTCTGCCAGATGTGATTAAACTCCAGTTCCTATTAATCTCAGCCAGAATGGCCAGTGATAAGAAATCATATAAGTTAAAAGTTCCATAACATGAGTGATGTTGTACAACTGTAGTCTAAGGCTTCTTCTGTATTTGAATAATATGAGATTGCTTGGTTCAAAATCTTCCATTCTACATCTGCATGATCATACAATCACAAGACACAAGTAGTCCTATATTCCTCTTACAGAATTTGAATTTCTTACATTCAAAATTAAGTAGACACACTTTAGGGCTGTAATCCTTTATCCACTCACTGGGCAACCAACACCATTAACTTCATTCAGATATGGTCTAAGGTAGACATGAATAAGACGGCATTGAAAGTCCTTCCTTGACCCTGCCAATAACACTGTTGACAACAACTTAATTAAATAATACCCATTAATAAGTAAGAAATCATCCACAGTATTATCAGGAGAAATAATGCTATGGAACATAAAATATTCCTTAATTATTAGGCCTAATTTCACTTCATTTGTATTTAGATTAGTGCTTTGGGGAGTGGGGACTACCTAGGCTTAGGAACTTTTGCCTTTCAGAAGATTTACATTTTCACAAAAATAAAGTTCTAGTCACTGAGCTCCAAATACTTCAGTGTAGAGGAAAAAGATATGACAGCATTAGTTTTCCTTGTTCAGAAAGGAAGAATCCATTACTTGGGTTGTGTAAATACCTAAAAATCCTTTCAATTTTATTCTCCATATTACTAATGCAATGTTCTGGAGGATTTTTGTATGGATTAAATTTTTTTAAACATTCATAGACAATTTCATACATGGTTGCAGTATATGGCAACATTGTATCTTAATTGCTAGCATAAATTGCTGAAATACTTTTTTAAAATGCCAGTCGCCTTGCTATTTGTTCTTTTATTCATTCATTCTATTTATATGGCCACCCATTTCACAAAACATGACTCTAGTACTTTGGCATGTACATATTCCTGATGTAGGCTTTTAATTACAAATTGCCCAGATATATGATGTTCTGAAAATGTAGTAACATCTAGCACAGCAGCACAGCAAAATAATAAACATAATGTAGCTTTAGATACTATACTTCTTTTTAGATGCCTGTTTGTTCTTGATTTTTCATCAAGAAATACATGCTTATTTGATAGGGGTAGCAAAATTCTAAACTTTTGCCCAATGGAATTTATGATAGAGTCATTTTACATCTCTCTCTCTACTATTGTCACTCTTCTTCAACCAGGTATTCCTTCCTTGCATGTTGGGATTACATCTCCCAGAATTCTCAGCCAACATGGCCCACATTGGCTGGGAGTCCTGGGAAATGTAATCCCAAAACATCTGGACAGGATCAAACTGGGGAAGATTGTTCTGCAACTGTCCAATTCGTTGTCCTGTCATGTTGTGTCTGGCAACCAGAGATGTCCTGCTCCTGCTTCCCAGGTTGTAGGTGGTCTGAATCCTCTTCTGAAAACACTTTTAAAGGGAAGTTGCTTCTTAGTCTCTTTAATCTACAGCTCTGTCCAAAACCACCAAAGGTCAGGACCCCAGCTGGGGCAATTCATCATCACCCTATTGAAGTCAGGCTGTAAGCCTTCAAGAGCTTAGCTCTCAGCCGCTTTATTTTCTTCCTTAGTGGGGGTGGGGAAGCCTGGCAGCAGTTCTGAAGAAGGGATGTTGAGCTAAAAATACTCCTGCTTAGGAAGTAGTTAATCAGCAGCATGCCCAATAAATGTGTGTTCTAAGCATTCCTGGTGAAGAGGAAGAGGAGGAAGAAAATAGAAGATAGAAGAAGAGAAGAATTAGTTCAGGGAGATCTAATGAAAATGATTGGTGTTCTTATGCCAGTATCAGTGAAGGACACAAGATGGGATATTAAAGATAGGCAGGTGACATCGTGGCCAACATTTGGAAGATCTTATTCCAGCTCTTGGGGGATTTTGAATCACAGCAAGAAGCCAGTCTGACATAGGTAAATGAAGCTTGAATCTCTGTGTGAACCAGGAAGAGATGAGGGTGGGGGAGAGCTAAGCGAGAATCCAGGCATCTGACTTCTGTAAACAAGGGCTCCTGTTTCTTCCTTTCTAACAGCTGATAAGAACTTAGCTCTTTCCAGCCACTTACGCTGACAAAGCACATTCTCTCCTTTCTCTCTCTCTTCTCTGCATCCCTCAGAATAATACTAGGAAAAATAAGGGGGTGGGGGGGTGGAAGAGAAGCTATTTGAGGGGAGGGGTTTGGAACAATGGATGCTGCTGCCCAGCCATTTGACAAAGGCCCTCTTGTTGGTGCCCACATTCCTTTGTCAGGAGAAGAGAGGATTGTTTACACCCAAAGTGTTCTTACGCTTGATTTGGTGCTTGATTGATCCGATGGAAGTGGTACTCAGGAGAGTGTGTATGAAGGAGGCACAAGCTGTGGAATATTTTTGTGTTCAGAAGTATGGCATACAAAGCCCTGTACCCAGCACATAAATACTCTCTTATCTCTCATACATACCACTTTCTCTTCAGGATGCTCAAATGCATCTGCACTTTGACCCCAGACTTAGCCACCAATATTTAGCTTCCTTGCAATTTCTGTTTAGGAAAATAGCCAAAAAGAAAAAGAAAGAAAAAAAAAAGAGCTAAATTGGGAAGAGGAACTCTTGTCAGTGTCAAGTCACAGCAGCCACATGTCTTGCCTTTTGCTGTGGGTGTCAGATGCAAAGGCTGTCTGTTGATGAACATGATCCTTGGCCCTTAATCTGAGATGATGCTCAAGGGATGGCATGACGGCACCAGGGCACTGTGTCTTGATATATAAACATGAGACTTATCGAATCTGACTCTCAAGCGATACCTAGTTAGGGGGCTACTTGTGAGGAGACCCATGACATCTCTTCAGAAGGAAAAGAGTCATGAAACAGGAACTAACAAAAAGTAATGCTTGTGCAAATCCCAAAGGCAGCAATGCATTTTATCAGAAGTATAATGCATATAAGGAGTGAACCAGAAGACCCTGGTTAAGATGTTATCATAGTCACTCTCTTTGTCTCAGTTACTATCTCCAGTATGGGGATGATTACAGTGGTTCATCTTAATGGACTGCTAACTAGTGCTTTACACTTTACAAGTGCTATCTATTATACCAGTACTAATAATATTAAATAATGGTGGTCTATCATGGAATTTTCTTGCAATTTATCTCTGGTTAGCAACAGAACCTTAGTTTGCCTGCCAGGGCATCTATCAGCATTCTGGAACAAACACAGCTCTCAGTTTAGCATTTGTTCCTGTTTTTAAATAGAATTGCATTTTCTTTCAAGGAGTAGCATATAATTTAGAACATCCTTTTTATTTTCTTTTAGAAAAAGATCACACATCAAATTGCCAGCTGCACTGAAGTGGACAGTGAAAGCTGTCCAGTTGCTAGCAAAACAGTGTGTCGTATACTTGGGGAATAACTTGGCAAGAGAAATTCACAAACGAGTAAAGGAGAATAGGGGTTTATTTTCATGGTAAAAAGGTGGAGCTCTCATTAACAGGAAGCAGATTGGCATTTCATATATTTTTCCCTTGGATTATGTATCCCAAGCCTTGTATTGTTTGTTTTGTTTAACTCACTTTTAAATAAACTTGCTTTTAACCTACAGTGAAGCTTAAAACTTCTTAAAACCCCACCCTCAGACTACAGTTCTGAGTTAAGATCTTTCTGGACTGACATATTTGAAGGAACTTTCATGGGATTTTTTGTTCTGTCTGCGCAACCCACAGTTGCCTGAAGATTGACCAGACCAAGACAATGGGGTCAGAGAAAAAAAAACAACCCCTAATAAAGTACAGTTCTTTGGTTCTTCATAGTTGGAGGGACTGTGTTGTAGGTTGTTTGAAGGAACAGCCTAGAACACATCTCCTCCAGCAGCAACCCCCAGATAAATAGGAAGTGGTACCAGATAAAAAATCAGGGAAGAAACAGTACCCTAACCAAGAACCATCAAGGAGGGAGTCACTATATATAAACAGCTAGCAGCTCCCACTCTGTCTTGCACTGATGATCTTACCTAGCACGGTAATGAAATGTCTGCAGGAAAACCACCAGGTTCAACCCTGAGCTACGTATACTATCATCTACTGTATAAGTAAAGTATTTAAGGTAGAGCTAAATGTCTCTTTTCAAATAATTTGATGGGAAGTACATTAGCATGAAACAGTTGTAGTTGTCATTAACATGGAATTATTTGGGTTTTTATCTAAAATGGGCTTGTATTACGTCAAATAGAATTTATTCTATGCCACCTCCAATTGAGTTCTATCCCAGCCTGGCATCTTTTCTGTGAGTTGGAAATAACTTACATCATTAGGTGACCGGGATAGATGAAAATAATAGTGCAATGCACCTGAGAGTGGCAGGTTGAGGAATGCAGTCGCAGTCATTGGCAAGGTAATTTAAGGACATTTGGACCATTTGGTTTGGTGAGTTGCAAATTGTATAGGCGTTTTCTAAACAAACTGTAGCTTGATTCATTTTTGCACTCTTGCTACTTTACCATCAAATGTGGAATTTGCAAAGCCCTAAATGAACTATGTGGGTGCTGCCGATTAAAAAGGAAAGCGACAAAAGATATTGATCTATTTCTTCTATCTTAAATGCTTCAAAAAATGTGGCATCATTTGTTTTTAACTTTCAATTGACTCTTTTGTGACAACAGGTAGGCCTGTGGGTAGAAACAGAGGAAGACTCAATCGTGGCATCGTGGAGGAGTGCTGCTTCCGGAGTTGTGACCTGAATCTCTTGGAAACTTATTGCGCAAAATCTGCCAAATCGGAACGGGACCTGTCTTCATCTCTTGTGGTCTTACCAGCACTAAACAAGGTAGGTGAAGATCCTATCTGAGTAATCAGATACATTTTTGAAAGGAAAAAAAAAATCCTATGGGACACAGAACCCTTATCTTCAGCATTTTGCTGCTTTTGCAGGTACAGCAAAATAATGTTATCCGTAGTTCATATACAGATAACATCTTCTACCTAAGCAGCAGTTTCTTGAAGAGAGTCTAGAGATGGGGGTGGCTGGGGAGGAATGACAATGAGAGTTCTAAAGTACAATGTGTCCACTCCTTGTCAAAAAATAGAAATTGTTGTGAAGCCCATTCGTATATCTATTTGCTTGGCAGAACATCGCAGGATATTGAGTATCATTCTCGAAGTTAATCATGCGTGTTGTTAATAGCTATCCTATGCATACTTATTTAAAAGGGAGCATCACAGTGTGAATAAGTTGCAAATGAACACACCAGCTGAATTGCGTTGCTAGGATAACATCAGGCAGGTACTAGAGAAATTATTGAACAACCTTGTAAATGTGATCTACAACAAAATGTCTTACTATTGTGTGTTCCAGTTTAAAGTGCCAGCTAATCAGCCATGCTGTCTTCCAGGATGCCTGCTTCCATCTCTCTTCTCCACAACTTGACCTCTTCTGTTCCTCTCACAATAGCTTTCCATGAGTACTGAGCATGCTCAGTTCTCAGTAGGCTGTTTTGGTGAAGCTCTTACCTTTCAGGGGTGTCCAGAGGGGAATCGGAAAAGTCAAGTTGGTGGTCATAACCAAAACCTTGTCACCTTTTGTTGACATGCATTGCAGATGTGGTGAATATACACAGGCTTCAGTTACACAGTCACAGCTGCCACCTTGACTTTTTGACTGCCTCCTGCAGATGTCCCTGCTACCTTTCAGCCTTTTCCCTCCTAATTCTGTTTTTATGACAAAATATAAGGTTCCCCCAGTTCTGCTAAGACTGCTCATTTGTAACCTCCATTCTGCTTTTGTTGCACAGAAACTCTATGTGGCAAATAAGGACACTATTAGTATATACCAGCCTGCCTCAAGCTGGTGCACTTCAGATAGTCTGATTGCATAAGGAGACCTGAAATCCAACATACCTGAAAGGCACCAGACTGAGGAAAGCTGATGAATAAGATTTTAAATGCAGGTAGTCCTTGCTTACCTACTGCCTTGCTTAGCGATGGTGGTAAAAAAAAAAAAAAAAAAGTTTTGCAA